GTGAGACCCTGTCTCCAAAAGACAGAAAAAAAAAAAAAAAAAGAAAAAAAAACCCCCAAAACAAAAACGCTTCAGACACTGCCAAAATGTACCCCCTGGGGGGGTGCTTAATAGCTGTATTTCCAGCACTTGGGAGGCTGAGGCAGCTGGGAGAGACTGGCTTCTGACACACTCAGAGAGTCAGTCATATACCCTTATTCAGGCCTGTTGGAGGAGCTGGGGTTTAAAGGCTCAGGAGAAGGTGGGAAAGGGAGTTGCGGGCTGGCACTGAGGAGCAAGGTGCAGGCGAGGTCCCTGGCAGCCAGAGGACTTCAGGGTGGCTGCATCCCAGAGCCCGGGGTGGCTCAATGGTAGGAGAGAGGTCGTCACCTGGAGCAGACCCGTTCTCTGTTTGCTTAACGCGCTGCCAGGCCTGTTCTGCTACAGCAGGGAGCCCCAACCCCGGGCCACGGGCAGCTACCATGTTAGGAGCTGAGTGAGAGAAGCTTGGCTGGTTTTTACAGCTCTGTAATGCAGCCGGATCTCCCCAAAACCACCCCCACCGCACCCCTCATTGTGGGTGCCCTAAAGGTTGAAGACCCCTGCTCTACGGGCCAGACGGTGATGTCTGGCTTCCGATACCTCTCAGGGGCCTAGGACTGTGACGGCTCGGTAGGGCCTGTTGTCAGCCTGCTGGGAAGGCCACACAGGTCTTTGGGTGCCGCCTGCCTCCTGACACAGGTGCGATGGGGCCGTGGTTACAGCGCAGGGTGAAGGTTATGATCTAAACGCCGGCGAGGCCTCTTGCGGGCGGCAAGGCCTCCGACAACAGGTGGTGAGGCTGTGCTGGAGGGCAGCGGGCAGGGGAAGGCGGGAGAGGATGACACACGGTCCCACTGCCCCGTGCACCGGGGACCATGCTACAGGCTGCCCGCGTCGCTTCTTTGACACAAACGCAATCTTCCCTGGTCTCAAAGGAGGCCAGAAATCAAAGCATTCCCTCTCGAACGCTCAATGCAGCTTTCTGAAGGAAGAACTCAACTCCCTCCACCCCACAGGTAGGCCGAATGTCACACTCTGCTTCCAAAGAAAAGAACAGGAAAAGGAAAAAGCAGCCACCTGGGAGAGGTCGCCGTAATCACCCGGTGATTAAGGTTGGCATCACAGCGAAAGAAGGCCTCAAAGCCCAGCACCCTGTCTGACTGTGGCCAAACGCCAGACAAACCCAGGCTGGGGAGTGTGGTACCAGACCCCTGGCTGGTACTTCTCAAGACCACCCAGAAAAAGAAGAAAAGGTGGGGTGACCCTCGCAGGCTAAGGGTCCCGTTAAAGACAATGTAGTTTCTTGAATTGGATCTAATGAGAAACAAACAAATAAGCAAATCACACAAAATCTAAGTAAAGCCCAAGGCTTGGAAACAACACTGAACAAGTGTTGGCTCTTAAGCAGAGACAAGGGAACCAGAGTTGTGTAAGATGTGAAAGCGCGCAGAGCTTAAATAATGCGCTGAGCAATCAGGGGGTCCCAGGAGAAATCAGGGAAGAAATAAAAGCCTTCCTAGAGTGAAATGATACTGACACAGTATCCCAGATCATTTCTCCGGGACACACGAAAGCAATTCTAAGAGGGAAGGTTACAGCTATAAATACCACATGCAAAGAGCAGAGGCGCCGCAAATGAATATCCTAACGGTGCACTCAGGGTCCTACGAAGACAAGAACAACCCAAGTCTAAAATTAATAGAAGAAAAGAAACCAAGAAGATCCGGGTGGAAATGAATGAAATTGGGGCTAAAAACACTATTCAAAGGATCAATGAATCAGAGTTGGCTCTTTGAGGGAATGGAACAGGGCCTGGGGATAGGGGAGGTAGGAAGGGAGGGAAAGTAAAAAGGATTAAGATATTAGTTTCCAGCCGGGCATGGTGATGCACACCTGTAATTCCAGCACTCAGGAGGCTGAGGCAGGAGAATCTCCTTGAGTTTGAGGTCAGCCTGGGCTACATAATGGGACCCTGTCTTAAAAGACCACAACAAAATAAAACAAAAATAAAAAACCCCACCAATTCCCCTTGATGAATGTACCTACTATGAATCACAAAAATGTACTAATACAACATTTTTCAAAGATTTTTTTTAAAAGATAAAATCAAATATAAGAAAAGATTTTAATGTGTGGAGAAGCTGGGTGGAGGATTCAAAGGGACGCTTCTTTCTTTGCACTTTTCTGTCAATCTAGAATTAAAAGCGTGCTTGAAAAAAATTGAATGATATAATGTGGCAGTAAGTTGCTCATGGGGGGGTTCAGGCTTTGAGTCTGAACCTTGACTTGGGTGAGAATGTCTAGTTAGGTATGGTGGTGAGCTACTTGGGAGACTGAGGCAGGAAGAGCAGATCACTTGGGCCTGAGTTTGAGGCCAGCCTGGGCAACACAGCATGACCTTTCTCAAAGAAGAAAAAGTCATCAGACCTCACTTTCCTTATCCTAAAGGACAGAGGTGTGGAACGCAGTGTCGGTCTTACAGCCCTGCTGTAAGGACAAGTGAAGAAACAGGTAGGGAAGGAAGACTCGGGAAGAGTAATGCTACCCATTGTCCTTATGAGCGAGGACTTCTGGGATTGCTGGGACATTTGGGAAACCAGACGCTGCTAGAACCCTTGTCTCTCAGGTTGTGTCTGTTAGTTCTTAGGGCTCTGTTGATCCGTGGCAGGCTATAGTCCGCCACCCCCTGGGTCTGCTGTGGATAACCCGGCGGAGAGGTAAGCAAATCATCTCTGTAAAGAGCCTGTAGTAAATATTTCTGGAGGCTGCCGGCTGCTGTTCTGCCGTCGTTACCTGCGAACTCTGCTCCAGCAAGACCTGGGCCACACACTCCTGCGCCTGTATCCCGAAATGTTACTTCTTAACCTGTACAATTTTTAAAATTAATTCTTAGCTTGCAGGCCATAAGCAAAAAGCTAAGCAGAGGGCTGGATCTGACCGTAAGTGCTCCTGAGCGGGGGACATCAAAAGTGTTTAAAGGAGCCGGGTATGGTGGCGTATGCCTGTAACCCCAGCACTGGGGAGGCTGAGGCAGGAGGATCACGGTGAGTCTGAGGCCAGCCTGGGCTACCCAGGGAGTTCAAGCCTGGACTGCACAGTGAAAATATGGCTTAAAAAAAAGTTTAAGGGAACTGCAGATGCCTGGACTGAAAACTGGATCCTGGGTCAGCAGAGGCCCAATCAAGGATGATCTCTAGTTGTACGCTTCAGGGCCAGAGATGCCATTCAATACTCTCAGATCCGTCTCAGGACAAAGACTCCCCAGCCCCAGATATCAACAGCGCGGAGGTCAGGGCCTGTTCTGGGTAGCATCGAGGGCTCTGCACCACTAGGAAGCTTGTTAGAACGCAAATTCATGTGTGTGTGCGTGTGTGTGTGTGTGTGTGTGTGTGTGTGTGTGTGTGATGGGAGACTGAGCCCAGAGAGTGCTAAACTTCATCCCAGCCCTGCTTATTTTGAGGCCGAGTCTCACTAAGTTCTCCAGGCTTGTCTTGAACTCTTGACTCTCCCGCCTCAGGCTCCCAAGAGGGCTGAGATGACTGGCGCCCCAGGTCCAGCACATTCTCTTGAATCCATCTACGGTGGGGCCTGGGGTTGAGCGCTTCTGAATCGCTAGGCAGTGGTAGGCTGCAGGTTTGAGGGCTATCTGGACAGAGACCTCAGGCTCTTTCCGAAAAGGGAAATGAAAATACCGGTAAGCAAGGAGCCAGCAGCGAGGTCCGAAGCAAGGGTCTCGCTCTGCCCAGCGCTATTCGCACCAGGGCGCTCGGAGCAGGCTTGGGGCACAGGCTCGGGGCAGGCAGTGCAGGTCTGCGTTTCCGGTTCTCCCTGCCTGCCGCCAGCCTCCCGCCTGCCACTGAGATCCGATGCCCACTGCAGAAGCAGCAAAGCCTGCAGGGGAGGAAGGGATGCCAGGCGAGACGGGACACTCCCTTGGCAAACGGCGAAGGACCTCACAGCGCCACACAACACGACAGCAGCCTGAGTGCCACGCGGCCACTGTGGGTGAAGATGCCGCCGTCCCTGCGCTGCCATCCAGGCCACCTTGGGCAAAATGCCCATCTTGTTAGCCGTGGGGTCTCACTGGGCTGACTGTACCCCTGACTGGGGACATCTGGTAATGGTTTGAAACTATTTCTTTGTGGTAGTGAACACTGAACCCAAGGCCTGGGGTATACTAGGTAAGCACTCTACCACTGAGCTACCTCCCCAGCCCATTTCCTGTTATAATTTTATTTTATTTATGAGAGTCTAGCTAAATTTTATCGGTTGGCCCCAAACTTGTAATCTTCCTGCCTCAGCCTCCCGAGTTGCTGGGATTACCAATGTGTGCCGCCTTACCTCGCCTTGAGACATTTTTGCTTGTTACCTCTAGAGGTGAAGTGGGTGCTACTGGCATCTCTAATGAGAAGAAGCCAGACGCTCTGCTCAGCATCCTAACGTAGCTGGAGCAACTCTCCATAGCATCTCCTGCCTCAGCCTCCCAGAGCGCTGTGATCACAGACGCACACTGCCACACCTAGCTTCTTAGTACAATTTTCGGAGCAGAGACCCTTGTCGTGCCCACCCCACAACCTCAGAGAGCCCTGGGGGTGGAAATCCGCTTGTTAAGGATAAACTGCCTCCTGTCAATCGCATGCTGTCCTCACGGTCCTAGCCTCCCTCTCCACATTTCACAGGGTCACCTTATTTGGAAATAAGATCCTGGCAGATGTACTTAGAGATGAGATCACACTGGGGTAGTGTGGGCCCCTAATCCAACAAGAGCAGGTCCCTGGAGCAGTAACAGCGGGGACTGAAAGAGATGTCACCAGTTCTAAGATCACCCCAGGGCCTCTGTCCGCGGTGACCTATCCCTGCTTCCCCGGGAGAGCCCCACTAGAGCTGTCCCTACGGGGAAGAATGAAATGGAACAAGATCTGCCAAGGAGGCCGAGGCAGGGGAGGAGGGGTGCGGGCGGACCGTGGCGCAGGACTCACCCGGGCTCAGGCAGGGCTTGCTGCACAGCGGGCAGCTGGAGTGGCCGGCGAAGGTCCCCCGCGCCAGCTGGTGCCCGTGGACACACTCCCACCTGTCCCTGAAGTCCTGGGCCTTGTCTTTCAGCTGTGCTGGGCTCTTGCCCTGTGGGACGGCTGGGTGTCAGGGTGCCCTCTGGCCTGAGCCCCGGCCTCCCCGAAGGAAGTGGGGGTCCCCTGCCACTCCCCGGCCCAGCCCCCACCTTCTCCTTCTGCCTGGTGACCCGGCTGCGGAGGGAGCTCAGACTCCGTTTCACCCGGGTGCTCTTGACAATCTTCTCGCTCTTGGGGGCGCCGTCCTCGCTCCTAGAGGGCGGGAAGGGTTGATGAGCACGGATCTGCAGAGCCGGAAGTTACTCCGGGATCCCCCCGGGGTCTCAGGCCTCCTACTCCTGCCTTACCCTTTCTGTGGCCCCTGACTCCCTCCTTCTTCCCTCCTGCCCGCCCTCCCATAGTCACTCAACAAACAGTCAGAGATGTCTGTGGAGTTCCGGGAGCTGAGGGGACTTCCTTTGCAGGGAGGAATGAAGCACCACGGACCGCGAGCTTGAGGGTCCAAAGGGAGCTGGAAATCCGCCCTGTCCACCTCTGACCTCGGCCTCTAATTCCCACTCTCCACCCCGCGCCCGGGTCTAAAGGGCCTCTAAGCCCCGCCCACTTCTCTATCCGGCCCCTCCTACCAATGCCCCCTGGATCCCAGGGACTCATCTAACAAAACCGTATAGAACCGGGAGCTACAGGCCCGGCAGAATCCCTGCCTTGGTCAGGGACCCCTTTCCTCCGGTCCACGCGGCTCCTGGGCGGCAAGCATCCATGAGTGTTTGTTGAACGAGTAACCGAGCGAGTCAGAGACCTCCACCCCGCTCTGCGCCATCCTCTGCCCCCAGCCCTGATCTGCCCCAAGCGCCCGGCCACGCGGCTCTGGACTCACTCGGACAGGAACTCGAACCAGGTGAGGCTGGCGGGGGCGGCTCCGGGGCTGGCGGCCAGGCGAGCCCTCTGCCGGGCCCTGCAGGGCGGACCGGGGCGGACTGCGGGTCAGGAGCGCTTCCTCGCTCAGGGCCCGCGTCCTCCTGGCCTCCGCGGTGGACAGCACGCGGGGACCACACGCCAGACCCGCCCGAGCACGTGCTGGCACGGGGACGAGGGACGGGCTCCCAGCAGCCGCAGTGACAGCGCCAGCCTCGCCCGAGCAAGCCCGTGCCGGGACGGTTCCCAGCTTAGGAAAGAGGGGCGTCCTCCCTCACTGCCCAGGTGTCCGCCGGGCACGGGGCAGCCGCTGCCCTCCAGGTCTGCCCTCCCCTCCCCTGTCCCTGTCCTCTCCCACTGCGCCTGGCCTTCCCGGTGCCTGGCCCCTGGCTGTTACTCCCATAGCTGCCCCCGCCTGCCCCCCGCCTGCCCTCCACCTGTCCCCTCGCAGCTGTTTTCTTACGGCTGTCTCCACAACCCGTTCCCCGAACTTGTGTCCGCGCCCCTCTCCCTAACCTGTCTCCACCACGTTTTCTCCCACTCTTGTGTCCACATCGGTTCACTCCTCCGCCTGTCCCCTCTTTGCCCGGCTCACGGGCGCCGTGTGCAGTGCGTGACGCGCACCCCACTCCCCTTCCGCACCCCTCACCCCCTCCCTCCTTCATCTCCCCATTCCCGGCCCTGCGGGGCACCACCTCTCTCTACGCCCCATGATCTACCTTCCATTTTAATGGAAGATAATTTTCTTAACTATCTTAATTTCCACCCTAGGTTTCTCATGTAAGAGGAAGCGTGTGATATTCGAGCCTTTGGGTCTGATTCGTGTCATCTAACATGATGCTCTGGAGGAGCAGTCATTTTCCTAAAACTGACGAGTTTATCCCTCTTCGCGGCAGAGCCGCGCTCCGTGCGCCTAACGCGCGTTTTCTCCGTCCGTTCATCTGGATGCTGGTGGACACCGAGGTCACGCGCTGCCTCTAACCCCGTCGGGGGACACTACAAGGGGAAGGGTTGGGCCAAGCGGCCTTGACCGGTCCTCTCATACCTGTGTCCAGACGCATTTCCCACCTTCTCCCTAACCTGTCTCCACCCCGTTCCCTCCCTCACCCCGTCCCTGGACTCTGCCCCACCCGTCCCCCACCGCTTACCCATGGTACAGGCGCAGCTCCTGAAGCACTTGCTGGACGATCAGCCTGCGGGAGGGGCGGGCCCAGGGAAGCGCCCAGGCGCCTGGGTTAGTGACGCGGTCCCCAAGACCAGCACCCGCAAGTCCCGCGCAGCTCTCACTGGGACCCCGCCCACCTCCCCGGCGCCTCCTGGAGACCCTTTCCTGGGCCCGGCCTCTCCTGGGGAGCGAGGTATGGGGCAGGAGCTCCAGTTGCAGGGGCTAAGTGGGAGGGGGGCGGGTCCCTCCGGGTCACTCACAACAAGCAGGGCTCCTCCCCCGCCAGTCCCTGGGGCCGGCCCGCCGCGGCAGGGACACTCACACGTGGTCGGGCTCCACATGATCCTTCTCTAGGTTCTCCAGCTCTGGGGGTTCGAGGCCTGGAAGCAGCCCCAGAATAGGGGTACAGGTGTGAGGGTCCAGCCTGGTGCCTGTCCTCATCCCCTGCAGGAATGGACACTTCCCAGGCAGGACCCATCACTCCTGGAGATAGGGTGGGGGAGAGGACAGACAGCAGGGCCGGAGGTGTCCCGGTGTATCACCTGCACCTGAGACTCCCAATGGCCCTACACAGATATGCTAATTGTGCTTTTAAAACATTAATTAATTGATCAATCAATCAATCAATTAATTTGCAGTACTGAGGATTGACCCAGTGGTGCTCCGACCCTGAGCTACATCCCCAGCCCTCCTTACTTTTTATTCTGAGAGAAGATCTTGCTAAATGGCCTAGGCTGCCCTGGAATTTGTGATCTTCCTGACTCAGCCTCCCAGGAGGGTGGGATTAGAGGCATGGTGTACTACTGTGCCCAGCTATTGTGCCTTTTTTGTTTTGATTTTTTGAGACACTCTATAGTCCCGGCTGGACTTGAACTCACTAGGTAGCACAGGCTGGTCTCAAACTCATGGTGCGCCTCCTGCCTCAGCCTCCTGACTGCTGGGATGACAGGTGTGCACCACCATGCCAGGCTACCGTGCCTTCTTACAGAGGGAACCACAGAAGCTCCAAGAGCTGCCAGACAGCGGCCAGTTCGGGTTTACACAGCACGTCTGCCTGACCAGGAAAAGTGCAAGCTCTTAGGGCAGAGACTCAGAGGAAAAGCGGGAGCTAAAAAGAGCCAGCACCCTGGGAGGCTGAGGCAGAAGGAAGGCAAATTCTAGCCCAGCCCAGACAACTTGGCAAGACCCGTCTCAGAATTTAAATAAATAAACAAACAGGGCTAGGGACTTAGCTCAGTATGAAGACTCTGGGTTCAATCCCCAGTACAGGGGGAAAGTGAAAAAATAAAAAGGAGAGATCGAGGCAGAGGCAGAGAGAGAGAGAGAGAACAGAGCCCCGGCAAGGGCATATGCTGGAGGCTCCGTCGCTTTCCTGGACCTACAGGACACAGCAGGGGGCCCTACGCCAGTTCCCCAGCCCTGTCCCCTCCTGAGGCCCTGCTGTGGCCCAACAGCTGGCGCCCTCCTGTCTGCCCCACTCCTGGGCTCGGTTTGAAGGGAGGGGAGGCGCAGGCTGGGTTACCTCTTGCAGGAGCTGCTTCCGAGTGCAGAGCGAGTTCCAGGGAGCCGATCTCCTCGCAGGCCAGGGGTGCCGACCTGGACCTCCCTCTCTTCTCAGGGCTACCGCTGTCCTGGGGGCAGAAGCATCTCATAAGCCTGGGAGCGGCCGGGCTGCAGGCAGAGGCTCCCAGCCGCGCATGGCCAGGGCCACGACACGCCAACCACACACACAGCCAGGCCCTCCAAGCCGCGATGGAGCTGCAGGTGAGGAGACCTCTCCCTGGATTAGGGTTAGAAGCAGTTATCAGGGTGGGGCCCCCGCGGTTAAGCCCTGGTGGCTTCCTATGACGACATGGAGGGAGATGAGGGGCGCAGACACAGTTGCGCACCCCTCCTCTCTTGCCAGGGGACGTCTGCACCGCCCTGGGGCTCCGCCAGCAGAGAGGCTGCCGCGGACTCCAGATGCAGGTCTTGCACCTTAGAGCCTCAGAGTCATGCCCCTAGCAAACCTCTTCGTAACGTATTCCGTGTAACTAGCCACAGAAAATGGGAGAATGGGGATCAAACCCAGAGCCCGGAGATGCCGGGCCGTGGCCACACCGTGGACCCCTCCCACACCTGCCCCATGGCGAGGGAGCCCTGCTAGTTTCAGGGGTGGTGCTCCCTCCCGCTCAGCTTCCGGGTGCTGCCAGGTGGGTGCTGGTCGCGCTCACCGTGTCCGACTGCTCCGCTGCAGTCCCGACCCCGGACAGACACCCTTGGGTCCAGGTCTTCAGCCCTTCTTCCGACAGGTTGAGCGCGAGACTGGCCAGCGTCCGAGTGAGGCAGGGGCTCTCATCCCCAGGCGGGGGGTCACAGCCGAGCCTGCAGGAAGAGGAGAGGCTGCGGGCAGGGGTCTCCTCAGGTCAGGGAGGCGTCTGCACCTCCCCCAAGTCAGAGAGCTCTGTGTCAGCTCGGAGGGGAGACAGAAAAGCCAGGTTAGATTTGCCAAAGCTTCGGCTGTTTTGCAGACTCACCCTTTTTGCGTACATGGGTTCCCCTTTGGGTTGACTTGCGGGGACTGAGGGAAATGGGGCGGGGGAGGTGGCTAATGCCCTGTCCCACTGTCAGGTGCCAGTGCTGTGGGGCACGGGGAGGGGGAGGCACAGAGGTGTGTTTTGATCAAAGTGTACCTGTGGCTTTCTGCACATTTGTGCAAGGAGTGTGTGAACCAGGTGTGCCTGTAACCCCAGCACTTGGAGAAGCTGAAGCAGGAGAATTTCAAGTTTAAGACCAGCCTAAGCAACTTAGGGACTGAGTGAGGCCCTGTCTCGAAATTCAAATTAAAACACAAAGGGCTGGGGAGGGAGCTCAGTGTGAAGGGCTTGAGTTCTATTCCCAGCACTGTAAATAAAAAACAGAAATGCAGCCCATACCCGACAGGCCTGTGGGCATGTCTCACGGTGAGCCTGCTTATGTACACCCAGCGCTCATGGGCAAGTGCGCGCCTTTTGGTGTGTCTCTGTCTTCAGCATGTACCTGCAGTTTTCAGTGTGGGCTCACGCATGTACATTAGACTGTGAGCACATGGGTCTGTACTCCTACGAGGCTCTGTGTTTGTGGGTACAGGCGTGTGTACCTGTGTGTCCACATGCACATGTGTGTTCCTGCATGTGCGTCTGGGAAGGCACCTGTGTTTGTGTGTGCACACGTGTGCTCGTGCAAGCACGTGTGTGCGCGTGCGAGCATGCATCTGCACGTCCTCTGACAGCGCAGGCCCCCTGGTGGCCCTAGAGCTAGACACACACATGCAAGCTGAAGCGTGACCGAGACCTGGCTCTGCCCCGGGACCTCGCAGTCCTGGGGCTGCCCCGTGGGAAGTGTGCAGGGAGGGCAGGGCCTGACCTCTGCCAGCTCTCCGAGCAGCTCCGTGACCTCTCCCAGCTGCGTCTCCGCACCAGGGTCTGGGCCCCCGCCGAGCTCGAGAAGGGTGAGTCTCTCTCCGCTTCCGCCTTTGGGGTGCTGCTGCCCGAGGCCCCTCCAGGCGGGCTCAGGGGAGGGCCCCCTAGGCCCAGGTCCTGGAGATACTCGCTGCCCTCCAGGGCCCCCAGATCCAGGCTGAGGTCCTCTGTGCTCTCACTGAGCTGCTCTGCAAAACCGTCCTCCTGCAGGCGGCAGAGGAGAAGGCGTTGACCGAGGAAGAGGGCAGGGCTGGGCTCTCCCCACTCCCCAGCGCCTGATCCCGCTGGCCCCTTCTTGTCCAGCCTGGGCTCAGCCTTCTCACAGCAGGCAGGGGACAGGGGCTTCCCGCCAGCGCTCTGTCCAGCCTTGGCCTTCAAGGTCTTGCCCAGTCCCCCAGAGGGCCCCGAGCTTTGCTGCCTCCTTTCTCAGCCTGCACTGGCACAGCTGAGTTTCCTTGTTTTGAGACAGGGTCTTGCTGTGTAGCCCAGGTTGGCCTTGAACTCACAGTGATCCCCCTGCCTCAGCCTCCTGAGTGCTGGGATGACAGGCGTGTGCCACCATGCCCAGCTTAAAGCAGTATTTTTTAAAATTTAAAAATAATGTAAGGTGATCCACAATGAATAGGTTATCCCACTTTTAAATGACTGCAGTTTGGGCATCCCTTACCCAGAATGCTGGAGAGTGCTCAAGAGTATTTTGGATTTTGGGTTTTTTCCCCAGTATTTTGGAATATTTACATATATATGATGAGATATTGCAAGGATGGGGGTCAAGTCTACACATACAATGCAGTTGTGTCATACACATGGTATACACATAGCCTGAAGGTTGGTTTATGTACTTTTTTTTTTTGTCTTTTTGAGACAGGGTCTCGCTATGCAGTTCAGGCTGGCCTTAGGCTCACTTTGTAGCCCAGGCTGGCCTGGAACTCGCCATGATCCTCCTGCCTCAGCCTCCTGAGTGCTGGGATTACAGGTATGCGCCACCACGTCAGGTTGTGCACTACTTTTATGACATCTACATTTTTTCCTTTTTCTGGCAATGGAGATGGACCCCAGGGCCTTTGTACTGAGCTATATCCCCAGACATTTTTAAATTTCTTGTTTTGAGACAGAGGTTCGCTAAGTTGCCCAGACTGGGCTTGAATTTATGACCCTCCTGCCTCAGCCTCCCTGTGCGTGGGGATTACAAAGATGTGCCACCACACCTGGCCTCTGCTGTGGATATTAACCAGCAGGAGGCAGAGGGAAATATTTACACCTGCTTGGGGGTAGGTAGGGCGCTTCACCCACATAAGCCTCTACACACTTGTCTCTCTCTTCTTTTTATTTTTATTGTTTATTTTTTCCCCCAGTTCTGGGGATTGAACCCATGGCTTTTGCACTGAGTTACATCCTCAGCTCTTTTAAATTTTATTTTCATTTTGAGACAGGGTTTTGTTAAATTGTCCAGGTTGGGCTCCAACTCATGGAGATCCTCCTGCCTCAGCCTCCCCAGTGCTGAGACAGATTACAGGCGTTCGCCACCACGCCCGCTGGCCCTCGATTCTGCTCTTTCCCTTCTATTTCCGCAGTTGCTCCTTTTGTGCCTCCTCTTCCTCACTTTGTCCTTCAAGTGCCTGCATCTCTGGTCTCTTTCTAAATACACACAACTCCAGCTGCTGCTAGCAGAGGTGGCTTCGCTCCACCGCTTCCGGCCAGCCTGCGTGCAGCTTGCGTTTGGGGCTTGCCTTCCTCCACAACCCCGCCCTGTCTTCTGTGCCTGGACAGCCTCCTGCTGACTCCTGTGGTGTTCTGTTCCCACCGCCACCCCGCAGCGCGGTCTCCTTAGTGCCTCTGGTTTTCATCTTCCGGTAAATATAAACACGTCGGGACAGCCTCTGGGCAGGCCTCGGCCTCCCTCCTTGCCCTGGGCTCCCTCCTGGGAAGCAAGGGGAACTGGGCCGGTGCTGGGGGTGTGGCCGCAGCCGGCACAGGCTGTCCCAGCTCCCCGCAGCAGGTACGCACACAGCTTGAAAGCTCGAGCCTGTCCTGCACCGCATTTCCCGGGCCAGGCGGGGGAGGGCAGCCAGGCGCTAGGGGTTTCCTGAGTTCAGCCCACCGTGCCTCTGGCTGCACCTGCAGGGTGTCGGAGGAGTGCGCTCCCCCAGCCGAACCCGGAGGCCGAGCCTCGCAGGAGCCCCGCTTTCCAGAAGCACTCCCCACTTGCACGATCGGATACTCCACGGATACGCTTCTATTTTGAAAAGTCTAGGGGCTGGGGATTTAGCTCCGCGGCACAGCAACTGCCTGGCAAGCGCAACCTCGAGAGTTCGATTCCCGGTACCGGAAAAATAAAACCAAGAAACCAAAATAAATAAATAAATAGGGGCTGGGGATTTAGCTCAGCGGCAAAGCGTCTGCCTGGCAAGCGCAAGGTCGTGAGTTCGGTTCCCGGTACCGGAGAAAAACCAAAAAATAAATAAATAAATAAATAAATAAATAAATAAATAAATAAATAAATAAAAGTCTACACCACTGTTCATCCGTCCTCTGGACGAAGACCACACAGCAAAGCCAACCCAAGCGCCTTGTCTCCCCGGTCGCACTTTGCCCTGTAAAAAAGTGACTTCAGACTGACTTCCCTAACCCCTGCACCCCATGCCCGACCGCTCCAAAGATGTTTTGAGCTTGGCCGTGGTGACACATAAGTGGAAAATTCCACACCTGATCTCGTGACAGGTCGCAGTCAAAATGGTGAGGCTCTAAAAATAGTGCCTACGATGACCTTCAGGCTGTGTGTAAAGCACCCAGGAAACACACGTGGATGTTCTGGGGTATTTTTAGCCGTTTCTGTTTCCCGCTCCCTGCCCTCCTTGCCCCGCCCCTCCAGCCGAGACCCCTGCCCCTCTGCAAAAGGCCCCTCCCTGCTTCCCTCCGCCTAGCTCATTCTGCTCTGCACCCAGACTCCAGGCTTCTTGTAGAAGAGGAACTATGTGCTATTCATGCCCGTGTGTCTGATTTATTTCACTGAGTGTCCTGGTCTCAGGGGATATCCCTTTCCCCACAAATGAGTCAAATTTATTCTTTATGGGTGGATGGTGATTTTTTCTCATCCGTTCAAAATTTTGTGTTTAGGGCTGGGGATTTAGCTCAGCGGCAAAGTGCCTGCCTGGCAAGCGCAAGGTCGTGAGTTCGATTCCTGGAACCGGAAGAAAAGACCAAAAAAAATTTTTTTTTGTGTTTAGATGTGGGTCCCTTTGCCAAGATATCTCATGTATATGCAAATATATATTTAAAAATCTCACATCTCGCTGGGTTTGGTGGAGCATGCCTGTAGTCTCAGCACTCGGGAGGCTGAGGCAGGAGGATTTCTGCTAGTTCAAGGCCATCCATCTGTCCGTCCATCCCTGCATCCATCCATCCATCCATAGGTCCCATGCATCCCTGAATCCCTCCATTCATCCATTAGTCCCATGCATCCATGCATGTCTCATCTATCCATCTAGCCATCTGTCCCATCCATTCATCCATCCATCCATCCATCCCGTCCATCCCGTCCATCCACCTGTCCTGTTCCATCCTCTCCCATCCATCTGTCCATCTATTCATGCATCCATCCTTTCTTCCTCCTCTCCCTGTTCTTAGTGCAGAACGGTTTTCAGCTTCTTCGTCTGCGGAACATGATGATTGCTCCCTTGCTGCACCCTGCCCAGGGCTCCCTAAGACAGCGTGTGGAACGGGTCTGGGAAGGGGCGGGTGCTACGAAGCGTACTCGCTGTCACTGCTGTCCTCCGCCCTGCCCAACACCTGCCTGCTCGTCCTGCATGGTGAAGAAACCTGGGTCCTCAGGTGTCCAGGGTCCGCAGCTCCTCTTGGCGGCCAAGGCTGCAGCTCCAGAATCAAAGGGCTGGACACATGGCTTGGACTCAGAACCTGCGGGGAAAGCAGGGCAAGGTATGGGATGAGGCAGGGCCTGAGCGACCGAGAGGAGGGCGGAGACCACGGCCCGGGGTGGAGGTGAGTGGGGGCGCAGCAGAGCGGGGGGTGTCTCCGTCAGCGGACACAGGTGGGGACCAGCACATCGCAGTCAGCGCGGTGGTCGCCTAAGGCGAGGCAGAGGCGGGCAGGGACAGGGCTGAAAGCCACCTTTAAAAAGCGCGGGGTGTCTGGGTCACTTTCCTCCTCGTGGGGCACAGTATGCAACACGCACAGCGCGGAGGAGGGGAGGTTTATTTTAGCTCGCGGCTGGCTCCGAGGCAGGACGCGGGGCAGAGGGGCCTGGCGGGGCACGGCTGCTCTCACCGTGGGGACCCGGAAGGAGCTAGTGAAGGGAGCAGCCGGAGGGGGTGTGGCCGTGCCAGGCCACGCCCCCAGCGACGCCTCTCCGCCTCTCCCAGCCAGGCCCCGCCTCCTAACAGCGCACTGAACTATGGGTACATCAGAGCGGGACTCCACTCCTGGGGGCAGCATCCCCACCGTCCAGTCCCCTTCCACAGCCTAGGGGTCCCTCTCGGTCTAAACCGTTGCACCAGCTGAGGTTTCTGTTCACTCGTAGCTTGGGCTTCCTGTGGCTCTGTTGACCCCAGTCCGGGTGTTCTGGGGAAGTCCTACCTTAGACGACTGAGCCGGGGTATTTACGTACAGCACCCTGGGTTTCCCCTCCGAAGTGTGCGTGGGGGAAACACTCCGTGCGGCCTCCCTGCTCGTACCCAGGGCAGCTAACACAGCGGGCGTCTCTCCCGGTCCAGCCAGAGACGGGTTGAGGAAGGGGGACAGGGACAGGGCTGTCCGTGCCCCTCTCGTGTTTCTCCTCCCAGCTGTGTACGTGACAAACACTGCTCCAGGTTTTGGGGGCTTGAAGCACTTACATTTTTTTGGCGGCGGGGGTTGGGGGGACTTCTTTAAGAAAAAGAATATCTGTGATCCCAGCACTCTGGGAGGCTGAGGCAGGAGGATCACAAGTTTAAACCCAGCCTGGACAACTTAGAGACTTAGAAAGATCCTGCCTCCAAATAAAAAATAAACAAAAGCCCGAGGATGTAGCTCAGTAAAAATGCCCTGGGCATGGCCCCCAGTCCCTCTCTCTCTCTCTCTCTCTCTCTCTCTCTTTCTCCCCCCCCCCACACAAACACACACCAAGGTAAAATTATGAATACTGAATTACTGGGGCATTTAGGAGGTACCAAGGACAGCAGAAAATAGCCAAGGTAGAAATAAACATGCTCTATAAATAGATGAAAGAAAAAAAGTCATGTGCACACATGCATGTATACAAAAATAACAAGGAGATTGGAAAACTGCCTGGCAGTTTCTCAAAAATCTAAGTGTAGGGAGTTAGCACATAACCCAGCACTCTAACTCCTAGGCACCTACTTAAGGGAATGGAAAACATTCCTCATGGTAGCAGTATCCACCACAAGCAGATGGAAACACCTCAAATGCCTACTGGTGGATGAATGGACATACAAACCACGGTATATCCACAGGGTGGAGTATTATTCAGCCACGAAAAGGGGGACATTCCACACACATCCCAACATAGATGAACCCCGACAACACGTTAAGTCAAAGCAGCCAGTCACAAGGACCCACATGTTATCTAATTCTTACGACATGTTCAAAGTAGGCAAATCTACAGGAAACAGGAAGTAGGTGAGTGGTTGCCCGGGGCTGGGGGGAAATGGAGGTTGCGGGGTGATGTTAGTGTCCTCTTGGGGTGGTGAAAGTATTTCAAAGTTGATGTGGTTGTGGTTGCAGACTTCGGGCATGTGCTGAAAACCAGTGGTTGGAAGACTTCAAATGAACACACTGTGTGTCGAGTGTACACACTGTGTGCTGTGTGCTTTCATGTATCTCAAGAAAGCTGTTGCCGAGAAAGCACCACTGGGGCCCCTGGCAAAGCTTTCACCGGCGCAGCTGCATGTAGAGCCCAGGCTTGGGGTGTAGGAGTGGGTGCTGGAGGCTGGTGGGAGCTTGCGGGGAGGGGCGCACCCCCAGGGCCATCAGAACAGGCTGCAGCGTCTGTCTGCTGCATTGGGCAGGCCCCTGGGGGAGGTCTGAGGTCTCCTAAATCCAACAGAGCGTGAAGAATGGGTGACTGCTGAAGGTTTAGGCTCCAGAGGCGGAAGGTGAAAGGGCAGGGGTGAGTTCAGTCATTTTCTGGAAGATCATGTCCCAGGAATAAGAGTGCCTGACTTGGTGATGGACTCGACTCTGATCCTGGTTTTGCAGACTGAGCCTGAGTCTTAGCGTCCTGGACTGAGCCCTAATCCTGGTGTCCTGGATGGCCCTTCATTCTTCTGTCGTAGGCTGAGCCCTGATCCTGGTGTCGTATACTGAGCTTGGATCTGGGCGTCATGCACCATGCTGTATCTTATAGTCAGGTTGAGCACCAAACCCAGTGTCATAGGCTGACTCCTAATCCTGGAGTCATAGACTTAGCTCCCCTCCTGGTGCCGCAAGCTAAACCTCAACTCTGATCACAGACCGAGCCCTGCTCCCAGACGTGGATTGGATTCCGATCCCAGGCACGAGCTGAGCTCTGATTCTGATGTCACGCGTCAAGCTCTAATGTTGGAGATGAACTCTCCCCACTAAAACTCCAGATTTTCTCTCCAGTGCTGGTCATTGCTGCCTGATATTCCCATGTGCACTCCCACCCGGAGCTGTGGAGACCACCTTGTCATTTTCCTCCTCCTCCTCCTCCCTTTATTGGTGTGACTGCCCTGTCTCCCCAGTAAGCAGGCAGGAGGCCCAGTCCCGCCTCCTCCCCACCCCTCAGGGCGCCACGCCTTGCCAAAGTCACCTCTACCTTTCTCTACTTGTTTCTTCTTTACTCTGTCCTTGGCGTGGTTTCAGCGCCCTTATTGCTCTCGCTGCAGACTACAAACCTTGGGGTCATACACTGAGCCTCGATCCTTATCATAGACCAAGTCCTCGTCTGGTGGCGTTGACTGAGCCCTGATCCCTGTGTCTGGGTCTGAGCCCCAGTCCTGGGGTCACTTCCTGAGTCCTGACCTAGTTTCACGGACTGAGCCCTCATCTGTGCTCTTAGTGGATCCCTGACCCCAGGGTCATCAACTGAGCTCCATCAATTGCCGACATAGTTGTCCCACGCGGGTGCCAACCACTGTCACTGTCACAGCCACTCTCTTGTCTGTCCCCTCCGCCCTGGAGCTGGTCCGTCTTCCTGGCATCATAGTTTAGCCAGCACTCTCCCTCCTTGGCTGTCTTACACTGTGGACTCCACTCCCCTTAGAATGACATTCTTTTTTGTTTACTTGTTTGTTTGAGACAGGGACTTGCAGTGTAGCTCAGGCTGGTCTTGAACTTGTCGCATCCTCCTGCCTCAGCCTCCAGTGTGCTGGGATTACAGGCTGGCACCACCACGCTTGGCTTAGAATGACACTCAAAACCCTCTCCAGCCCACCTCTCAACTCCCACCACCCTTAAGCCTGCAGGGCGCCATCCTCCTGTGCCTCTGTGCCACTCCCCCCCCCCCCGCCTTCCTACTCTTTCGGCCCAGCAGCAGACGGCTGTGTTGGCTCCCCTGCAGACTTAAGTGGAGGATTTTGACGGTCCTGCCCTCTTTACCTATGCCTTGTTGTGTTGTAATTATTTCACTTGCACTTTCCCGTGGCTCTGCTCAACTTTATAAATAAAGTTTTATTGGCACACAGCTAGGCCCAGTCACCTGTGTCTCACCTATGGCTCCCGTCACACTATACCTGCGGAGTTCAGTAGTTACATCAGAGGCCACATGGCCTGCAAAGTCAAAAATATTTACAGCACTCTCTAACCTTACATGGAAAAAGGGTGCTCATCTCAGCTCCAGAGTACGAGGGCTGCCGGGGCAGGGCCTGAATCTGACCCACTTTCACATGCCCAAGGCCAAGTAGTAAAATCTTACGTGTGTCCGCCACTTCCTGTGTGCCTGGAGGAATGCTGAGCTCACCCTGTGCTTTTCATTTTCTCCCCTCACGACCTCTGCAAGGTCCTCACTTTCTACAGGGGGAAGCAGGGGCTTGGAGAGCTACACTAACTTTACCAACATCACCTCAGCCTGGTATGAGGGAGCTGGGATTTGAACCCAGCATTTCTGAGTTCAAAACAACAGGTCACAATCACCAGGCCATCCCGTGCTGTGCTGGGTTTGGCGGAGTCAGTGGCCATATATTTGTTGATGAATGATAAATAGGTGGATAGATGGATGGATGCATGGATGGATGGGTGGATGGAGGAACTGATGTGATAATTAGTTAAATGGTTATCTGCCCGCCTGTCTGGATAGATGGAGTACTGCTTGGCTGGTTAGCTGGACAGATGGATGGTTAGATGGATTAGTGGATGGGTGGATAGTTAACTGACTGGATATCTATCTGGATAGATGAATTATTGTTTGGCTGGCGAGTTGAGTAGATGGACTGATGATTAAATGGATGAATGATCCGATGGTTGGATAGTTAATTGGCTGGCTGACCAGGTGAGTGATGGATGGGAGGATGGACGGTTAGGTGGATGGGTAGAAGTGTAGAAGGCTGGCTGGATAGTTAACTGACTGGATGTTTATCTGGGTGTCAAGCTGTCTGTTATGGGCTGGCTGGTGAGTCGGGTGGGCAGATGGATGAATTACTGGGTGGATGGAGAGGTGAATGGTGGGTACTCTGCTGTAGAGTGGATGATGGTGGCTGGCTGGCTGGGGGGTGGATGGGTAGGCAGCTGGAGGGAGAGGCCATGTGACAGTGTCCAGAGACAGTGAGGCATTACACCGAGGGGACGACATTCCACGGGGGTAGTGGCAGGAGATGTAGACCGAGGAGAGGCAGAACCGGGCAGAGAAGCCAGGCTGGAAGAAAACCCAGGTAAGACACAGGACGCACTCACAGTGCATGTTTGGGGGATGAATGAAACAGCACGGCCAGCATGGGCAGCCAGGATAGCTGAGGGGACAGGCAGGCATCAGTGTTTCTCTCCAAAGCGGTGTCTGCCTCCCCTCGTCCAGCCCTGCTCCTTCCCGGGGAAGTCCTATTAGCACCAGACCGCCAATTATGGAGCTCCGGAGAAGCATGAACGACAGGACACCGTCCTCCCTGCTCCCTGGGCCCGAGCCAGGAGGGATGCACTTCTGGAGCCACCCCGGGCCATAAAGCTAGAGCGGGGAAGGGGCTCGGCGGGGATAGCCCCTTGCTTTCCACGGAGCCGGCCACCAGCCCCGGGCATCTCAGGCGGCCTCTCCCTGCACCAGCCCCACGACGCCAGCCATAAAAGGGAGTAAGGATCACCCCAGCCCCCATGGCTCACCCCATCCCGCCCGCCTCAGTATCACAGTCTCAGCCTGCCTGAGCAGCCAGGAGCGAAGCCGACCTTCACGGGACCCAGGCCACGTTGGCGAATGCTCCAGAACTGCGCTCTCGGGCTGCCCGCGTTGGCAGCTTTGCTCACCAGGCGGAAGTCACCACCAGGACGGCTCCAGAACAGACAGGCCTTCCAAGGCCAGCTCCTCCTGTGCATGCCTGCTGTGTGATCCTGAGCAAGCCGCCCGACCTCTCTGGGCCGTTACACAAAGGCTCCACAGCTGGCCAGTCTTCTTGGAAACTCACGCTACCCTGAACAAGCCCTCGGCTCATGCAGCTACAGTGGCCAGGACAGCTGGCAGCTGAGCGACGGGCTGGCCTGACCAGGGAGGGGGCTCCTTATCTGGGTGGGAGGTGCCAGAAGGCAGGAAAGGCAGGAGGCGATGGGGCGCAGCTGGCTTTTGCCACCCCGCCCCCACCACGTCCTGTGGACCCAGACACCAGCTGGTCCCCCACAAGAGCCAACCTCCTCCAAGATGCAGGAGGAAGTGCGTTTTTTCCCCCATCAAGGGCTCACCCAAGTCTTGTGGCACAGAATACAGGGCTTCTGCAGACCCTGCAGAGTAGACCGAGGTCCTAGGACCCTGGAGGGGCTGGACACCGGGCGGTGTGGGCACTCATGTGCCCGAGGGTGGCGTCCGCCTGGGGATCACAGCTCTGCCTCCTACGCTGCCACCCTGGGCCTCCTGCCCTGCAGCAGCTCCAGGAACCAAGAGCACCGGGGATGCCCTGCCTGCCACCACGCTGCTCCTGGGAGCCCAGCAGCGGAGCTGAGGGGACGGGCTGACCCTTCCTGTCCGGAGTCAAGCTCCTTGCCGGGCCTGGGGAGACAGCCCCTCTGACGTAAGAGGGCCACAGTCTCCCCAAGGACACTGGGGGGAGTCGGGGCTCAGGGAACTCGGGGCGGCTCAGCCGAGTCTGTGGCCAGGCCAAGTAAAGTCTCTGGGGCCTGTGGGGGGGGTCTGTGGACGGGCTGTCAGGGATCCCCGCCTGCGGACACAGGGCCCGCCAGCCGCTGCCTACCACTCACCTCGCTTGAAGGCCCAGCACTTTAGCCAGCGCTTGGACAGAGCTGGCCAGGAGTGGTTGAGGGCTGAGGCGGCCATGGGGCCTCGTGTCTGAGGGTGATGCGCCGGGAGCAGGAGCCGGCCGGCCGGGAAGCCCTGCCAGGACCCGCTGCCAGCGAGAGAGGCGGAGACTGCAGCCAGAGGCTGCCAGACACATCAGCTGATGGATCCCGGGCTGGGAGGAGGGCTTGGGTTCCAGCTGGGGGCCAGGGGACCCCGCGCCTGGAGGAGCCCAAGCCCTTAGCACCCCCGCCCCCCTACGGGCCTCTTGTCCTAGCTGCAGAAGTCCAGCCTGGGCATGCGTGAGTGTGAGTGTGAGTGTGTGTGTGCACACACCGTTGTCTCTGCATTTGACGGTGCGTTCGTGTATCAGCAGATAGAGCATATATTTTCAGGTCTGTGAGTGTGTGTTTAAGGAAGTCTGGAGATACTGGGTGCAGTGCTGTGAGGCCAAGGCAGGAGGAGTGCCACAAACTGGAAGCCAGTCTGGGCCACACGGTGAGTTCAAGGCCAGCCAGAACTGCAGAGTGAGACTCTCTCTCTCTCACACAAGGGTAAGCCTTGGGTGTCAACTTGCTTAGGTGGAGGTGTATTTGAGTGTCTAGATTTTTTTTTGTTTTGCACTGCTGGAGATGGAACCCAAGGCCTCGTGCGTGCTAGGCAAGGGCTCCATCACTGAGCGACGTGACCTCTTTTTGCTTTTATTTTGAGACAATAGCTCACTATGTTGCCTAGGCGGGTCTTGATCTTGTGATCCTCCTGCCTCAGCTTCCCAAGTACCTGGGATTATAGTTGTGTGCCACATGCCTGGCTTCTAGGTGGTTTTGAAAGTCTCTGTAATGCAGTGTGTGTGTGTGTGTGTGTGTGTGTGTGTGTGTGTGTGTGTGTGTGTGTCCTTGTCTGCGTATCCATGCATAGCGCGCGCCCGTGTGTGAATGAGACCCAGTGCTCTTGCAGGCACGTGCTGCTCCCCGCTGGCGGAACTCTGCACCTGCTTCACCCCTCTGCCTCGATGTCTCACCTCCCGAAAAATCCTCGAGTCCCTTCCCCTCCCTTAAAGAGCTCAGAACACTCACATGCGCCCCCAAAAGGGCGAAAGGACTTCATAGCAGTGTTAAGCAGCTCGCTGAGCTCACTGAATCCTATACTGGCAGTGAAAACCAGAGTGATTGTCTGGGCCCATTTTTGCCATCCTAGTGCAAAGAAAAATCAGATACCGAGTTGTTATCAGCTGGGCACTGTCTGTAATTCTCTGCCTCTCTCAGACCAAAGCCAGAGTCCTGCTCTGACTCCCGGGGGCCCGGAGTGCACCGCGTCCCTACTCTGCAGCCGCGACGCTCCCGAGCCGTCCCTGTCCGCTTCCCGCCTGCAGCCTCCTGCCTCCGACCTGGTCTGGCCAGCACCAGCTCCAGAGAAAGCCTGCATCTGTCCCTGTCTCACCTTCAGTCCCGCTACTTATCTCTTAAGGGCCCGAATCTCTCCCTGTACAGACCCACGGCTGTGCCCAAGCCTTCCAGGGCTGCTAAAACCTCGTCCTCCTCAAACAAGAGCCAAGCCCAAGCAAGGTCGCGGAGAGGGCTGCTGTCACTGCCGAGCGATCGGATCTGGGAGGAGGCGGGACACAGCCGCCAGGACACAGCTCCTCACCCTGGGAATGTAACCCAAGACCCCAAGTGCGCCTCGAAATCACAGACACCCCCAGCCTGCGTAAACCACGTTCCCCCCGCGATCGCGCACGGGTGAGGAAGCTCAGTTTGTAAATCCGGCGCAGGCAGAGATGGACACTGACTGGAGATCCCACAGAACACCCACGACAAGAGGCTAACAAGAGCGAAGTGAGTCTCTGACAGTACCTGATGGTGGGTAACAGTTTCAGGCCTCCGCTGACTTCAGGTAAATGAAACCACGAAAAGTGACACGTGGGGTGTTGGTGTGCCTGTGTGTGTGTGTGTGTGTCTGTGTGTGTGACTGTTTTTAAGATCAGGAATCACTGAAGTGTTTGTTTTGGGGGAGGGCATGGGAAGTCCCTGAGCCTCACACATGTGTAGCACAGGAAGGAAAGGTTAAGTGTCAGAGCCAAGCACGCAGGAAAAGATGAGGTTGAGACAGGGTCTCGCTATGCAGTTCAGGCTGGCCTTGAGCTCACTTTATAGCCCAGGCTGATTTGGAACTCCCAAGGATCCTCCTGCCTCAGCCTCCCAAGTGCTGGGATTACAGGCGTGTGCCACCACGCCCGGCCTGGCAGTGTATTTTAGAGCTGTTGCTGTGGCCAGGCCCTGAAGGCCTTGTGTACGTGACCTCGTGACAACTCCTGCAGAGGACAAACAGGTGCCCAGGGAGGTCAAGGCCCCACCCCCATGCGGGGGGGGGGGGGCTGGGATTCGAACCCACGCCCATCCAACATGGCAATGGCATCGTTCACAACAGTGAGACAGAGCACAAACACATGGCAAGACTCAGGTAGGATGGAAAACAACATAGGTAAAAGAGGAGATGAGGAAAATCATAATTATAAGACTGTGGGTTTTTTAAAAAAAATTATATCTTCAGTACATAAATCTACTCATGGTTACAATGCCATTTTCCTTCCCAGGAGACTTACTAAAAAATTCTGAGGGTCCTGAAGACACAATAAGCCTGTAAATCGGGCTCCATGCTCTTCAAATTGTTCTCACGCCCACTGACCTTATCCCAAGTGCTTATGCAGACAGCAGAAATCTAACCCTCAAACACACGCCAATGGTTTCATCCTAACCACGGGGAATCTGACAGACACTAGGAATGCACATCTCCCATCACACATCTTAGGGGCACCCTAAGACCCCATAATCCCTCCAAGAAAAGCTGGATGCGGTGGTGCACGCCTGTCAACCCAGCACCCTGGGAGGCTGAGGCAGGAGGATCCCAAGTTCAAGCCCAGCCCGGGGCTACTTAGTGACTTAGAGAAACCCTGCCTCAAAAAACAAACTAAAAAGGGTTGGAAATGGAGCTCAACCCCCAGCACCCACACAAACAAGCCAACAAACCAAAAGAACTCAACCCCAGACCCTAAGGCACCTGTCTCCAGGGCCCCGCCTCCGGGGGCTTCGAGTGTGGACTTGTGAGCTCTGTCTGATGAACCCTGTGAGGCTTTTCTGTGACCTACAACCTAAGTCATCGAAGCTACGACCTGCCCTGTGGGTGGGGTGAGCTGCGGTGACCTCCTCGGTCCCCGGCCGGCACTGGGACCAGGCTGGGGGCGACGTGAGGGAACCCAGGCCAGACGCAATGGGGGCTGTGTGGAAATGTTCCCCGGCAGGGGTGGCAGGTGCTGGGACCCTCCTTGGATGCCGAGGTGTGGCCTGGGCCCGTCCGTCCACTGAGGGCAGCGTTTGAGCCCCTTCCCACGTCCCACTCTTCCTGTCCCGCCATCAACTGCAAAGCCGCCCCTGCCGGACCCCAGCGGACCCCAGGCCTCCCAGTCCCTGGAGGCGGGGCAGAGCCCTGGGGGCCTGGAGGAAGTTCACAGCGGGTGCGCCTGGCACAGACCACAGGCGCCTCCCTGCTCCCCGGCCCCACCCAGCAGTGGGGGTGGGGGCTCCCCAAGGTGGCTCTGCTCAGAGGGGCCCCCAGCTGCGCGGGGGCAGGCCAGAGGCGGGCTTCCTAGGTGACCTAGCAAGGCCGAGTCCCCAGCAAAAGCCTTAAAAGTGGGGTTTGTTTCTGCAAGCTGGGTCCCCCAGCTGCACCCGTATGGGCCTGTTTTGGGGACACCCGTGCAGAGGGCGTCCTGGAATCATCTGGAGGTTGCCATGGCGGCTCAGTTCACCCCTGGTCTTGGTCCCTGGTCCCCATGGATGCAAAGGGCTCCATCCTCCGCCATTTCCCGGGGCTCTTCAGGGACCCTGGCACCCCAGGGTCGCCTTGGTGGAACAGACTCAGGCCAGGCAGCCTCCTCTGCCTCCTGGGGGCAGGCCACCCGCCTGAGTCCCTCTGTGTCTGCTGCCCCCACGGCTGCCTCCCAGGATGGCCCACTCCCAGGATGGCCACTTACCGCATGGCGCCTGGTCCGCGGCAGGGCGGGTGCCCAGCCTGGCCGCCAGCTCCTCAGGCCCCCATGACCCCTGGCCAGGGTTCCCGGGAGGCCCAAGGCAGCACTGGCCGCCGCAGCCTGGTGTAACCACAGCGTGACCCAGCTCTGCCCCACTTCCTCTTCCTCAACCGCCCCCCGCCGGCCTCGGGTGGGTGCAGGGGTCTGTGGGGAGCGGAGAGGACAGGCTGCAGGGACAGGACAGGGGTCCCAGTGCACCCCGCAAGCCCGTGCGTGTCTGCGTCTCCAGGAAGAGGAGTGGGGTGCTGAGGGGAAGGCGCGGCACCCCCAACCCCACCCCAACAGCTTCCTGCGGAACCAACCGCCGCAGAGGGCCGGGGCATACGGTGCACAGACAGGACACGCAGGACATGGGGCAGGTGTGTCAGAGGCACGCGGGACGCAGGCCCTGGTCCGCGGCGTGCGCTGGGAAGTGGGTGTCAGCACCCACCCGAGTCTGCACACGCCAGAGAGCGCAGGGCGGACGCGTGCTACACACACGGCTGTGCACACAGCATAATGCATGGAGCCCTGCAGAGCGTCACACGTGCACAAGGTCACACGCATGTGCCAGAGAGGATAAGGAGACGCAGACAGGGGCAGGATACCTCCCGGGCACGGCCTCGGGTGCCGGGGCACACATTTGCTTGCACATGGCCGCACCAAAGCACAGCTGGCCAGATGTCTGGAGAGCTAGGAGTGCAACACACACTCAAGCACACTCAGGTCGGACGCAGCCGCTTGTGACAAGGAGGAGATGGCTTTCCCAGCTCGTGGCAGGTGACTGTTCAATCATCAAGAATTTTGCAAGGTGCTTGTTAAATGCGGCACGGCTGAGCTTGTAATGATCTAAACTTATGATGCAACAAGTCACATGACAAATACCGCATGATCTCACTCTTGTATGGAATCCAAACAAGTTGAACGCAGCCAGGTGTGGTGTTGCACACCTATGATCCCCGGTACTCAGGAGGCTGAGGCAGGAGGATCGCAAGTTCAAGGGA